GCTGAAACTTTCCGAAATCACAAAAGAGTTCCCCTACCGGGTCTGTATACTTTGTGACTTTGTTCCCGGTTATCAGGTCTGTATACACACTCCCTTTAATTATAGTGCCTTACTCTCGGTTTTAACCAGCTCGAAGTATGTTACATTAGTATTAGATAAGCAATGCCAATGAAAATTTAAATTTTCACTTTTGCCCCCCTTTTTTTTTTTTTTTTTGGCACCTAAGAAAGAATTTTCAATTCTAAGAATTATGCTTCTTGAATTTTGAGAATCGGTTCATAAATAAAAAAAAGTTATGGGGTTGTAAAGGTCAGCAAAATATGGATGACCCACATATAGGAAAATACTCCTAAAAAGTGGACCACGCAGTAGCAGATTCTGTAAAAAAAATCGACGATATCTCGGTAACTAATCGGAGTGTTCAAGAGAAACTTGGCTACCCGATGTGTTTTTGAGTGTAGAAATCATTTCTGCAGTCAGATTTACTACCAATTTCGTAGTTATTTTGTTATAATTAATAATTAAAATTGTGGTGTACATATTACGATTTTGCGAAAAAGGGGTGTCGGGATGAGTCCATTTTATTTATAGCATCGTATCACAACACGGGATCTTTAAGAATATATGTCGGCAGCGTGACTAAATAATTGCAAAGCTTTTTATGATGACTTTAGACCATGCCAACCGTAAAAGATAAGTTAATTCAATCTAGCATGCCGTACAATTAAAAATTCTTTTTCCCCGTTGAGACGCGAACACCCCGAGACGAGATAACCTCGCCTCGGAATACCTCCATTGCGATGTTACAGGGGAATAGAGAGAAAAACAACCGGATGCGCGCGGCCGCCATTGCCCTATTTCAAGTGACCAATGAACGGGCCCGGAACAGTCATGCGGGGATTTGTAGGACACACACATTTGCCACGAGAGTGAGGGGAAAATGGCCGGTCTCCGTGCGAAGCCGCTTTGGATAGGGGGGGTAGTCGTGCATTTATGATTGGGGTCTAAACAACTACTTGACACAGAAACGTTCAAATTTGAGCAAACTATAGAGGATAGATAGATCTATTACCCAGAGCTTTTCCAATGGCTGATGTCATTTTTCGAGGATTTTTGGGTCCAGGGCAGGGCCCTGGCAGGGGGTTGAAGGGGGACAGCGTCCCCTTTCTGTTTGAGAATTTTTGGTTTCAGAGCATCTTAAGTATGCCATTTCTGGCTATTTAGGCCTAAATTTAACAAGAAAATAATTGAGAAAAAAAACATACATTGTATAGGCCTACATAATTTTCTGCTTGTGTTAATCCATATATTTCCAAATCCAAAGCAATGCTTTCTCCCTTGTTCAGATACCGTACATCCACAACTAGATCTATAAAACTTGACAGTTAATGTTTAACTTTTTTCTGCTTGTGTTGGTTTGCACCATAATCAGCATAAGGTGTAGAATTCTTACAATAATAGCTTTTTATATAACAGCTTGACTTGATCTCTAGATTCTAGTCTAGATTCTAGATCTAAATAACTTGACAGCTTATATTCAATTTAAATCCACAACAATACTTACAAATAAACAAGTCTGGTAAAAAAAAATCAAGCTCTCTTTAGAGTTTTCTTTTCTTGGCAGGCCCAAGATCTATTGAACCACAATCGTCATTCCTTCCTCTTGTTTACAGAGCTGGTGCTGTGCTTCTTGTGCTTTAGAAAGTGAAAGTAGAAGACACTGTCTACACTTTCAAATAAAAGAGCTCTTCCAGTATGGGTTGGCTATTGTGGACTATTGGTAATAACGGAAAATTTTTATTTCGCATTTTTGAAAATAATTTTTTGCAATTATTTTTTTTTTGGCACGAATTTTCAAGGAAATTTTTCCATTTGCGGAAATCTACTAATTTGCGGAAATCCGCAAAATTGCGGAAGACTGGAAGCCCTGATTACCATCTCGGCGTTGAAATTCAAACTCCTTATAGTTTTCGGTGTACACGATACGAAAGTGTTCCCGACACCAAAAGTATAGGTTAATTTATGTGTACGAACTTCAAAGTCCACATATCATTAGTTTGCCCTATTTTCTGATTGGTTGCCGAGTTTCATTCGGATTGGTTCGAAAATAGAGCAGACCGAGGTTGACAAAGTTAGTCACTTACGCTTCGGCCGGGTCCGCAAAATCGCCCGTAAACGGGGACCAAATTTTCGCCTCGCGGGAAAGCCCGATTGGCATTGCTAATTAGATCTAGAATCTAGTTTAGTCATTTAGTAAACGCTGGTAGTATAAAATAACAAGGCCGTCGTTATTCGGACTCGAGTCCGGGAAAAAAGGAAGTGTCTTCGTTCTATATATCTAACGTTCAGTGCTTCCAATTTTCCGACATTTTTTAGTTTCCCCCACACCTTTTCTGCCGATCCGATGCCCGCCACCTCATTGATACGCCCCCCCCCTATATATCTAACGTTCAGTGCTTCTTTGTTGTAGAAAAAGGTAAATTTGAACATTAGCAGACCACCTGGCACCTGCATATTATGAGCTGTGTAAAAAAAAAAAAAGACCGATTCCTTTAAATACACAAGCCTGTGTCATATCGATTGTTTACCAAGAAAAGTTGTGTTGCTGTGTGGAGCTGAGCATACGGCAACTTTTGATTCCATAGACCAGCGCACAATTCATTACGTAGATCTACGTCAAGACTAGCTTATTATTGTAATAATGATCAGTTGCCGGGGGGAAAAAGACTGACGCGTATGCGACGTTCAACGCCCGAACCGATAGTGCCCCCCTCCCCACCCCCCTCCCTGACACGCACACAGCCACATATGTGTGCAGGCCGCCCATCCAACCCTGTCACACGCTAACGAGCCATCTTTAACTGCTTCTGATGACCTCTTGACAAATAAACATTTATTAGAAGCGCTATAACTTTTCAGGCCGGCCTCAAATTCATCATAAGCATACCTGCCAACATTGCCTGGGCCAAAATCTGTAGTTGGACGCAAATCTTTGTCAAAAAATCTGTAGTTGACCTAAAAAATCTGTAGTAGGCTATATTACCTCTTGTCACATACTTAATTTGGGACCCTTATTAATATTTTATTTTGACCCACATCAAATATGCATGATTGTGTTTGCGACTTCAAACAAATGTAGAAAATGACAAAGAAAAAAAAATGACGAATATGAAAACTACCAGAGGCATTTACCCTATTAGTAGTTGGTGCAGTTCCTGTCCTATTCATACCTGCACGAACACACACACAAATGAAACCAAAAAACCACACCCCCACCCCCAAAAAAACCCAACCAAAAACAAAAGCAAAGAAGAAAAGATGAAGAAAAGGTGGGCCTTGGATGACTTAGGCCTACCCTTGGCCTTTTGTCTTTGCAGAGTTTACAAGGAAAGAGTATGACGGATCCCGAGTCCACACAAGGCCTGCACCAACACGCGTTTTGCAGAGTTTTCTAGATCTAGAGGTAATCAAAAATTTAGAATACTAAAATTTGCTTCCAAGTTCAGTTTTTGTCCCCTGGTGTTGCCTTAGAACCCCCCCCCCCCTTTCCCCCGAGTGTATCTTTAAAAAAAATAATCCTCCCCCCATTCCGGAGTCCTATACTATGCAGCGCTCAGACTTTGAATGAACTTTGGTGACCCCCTACAAGTGCCCGTGCTCACAATGTGATGGAACGCGCAAGTTCATTGACCGGTCACAATGGCGAACCCGACAAGACGCTTGTATAACTATAACTTTCTTTTCTTTTTTTTTTCACAAGTGACAGCACAGGACAAATATTGATTTATTTTCAAGGCGACACAGCGTTTGCCATGCACAGCCTGCATGTTGTTGTTACAATTAATGTTGCATTATCAAACTACTACCAGCAACTTTCTGGGTGGTAACGAAAGTGAAAGTATATCTTGATTATCCCGATCAAACGTCGGTATCACACCCGCTTGCCACCATAGCCGCCTGTCTGCGTGAAGAAACACTCTCGAGGGAGCCGAATGAATCACAATCGCGACCGGCAAAAATGAACTTTCGGGCATTATCGGATTTGGTTTTCAAATATTTGATAACTTTCTCAAATTCCGGGGCCTGGCAGTCACCCTGCTGAATCCCGAAGTCGGTGGCTTCATCTCAAAATCGGTGGATCGGTGTTTGACCCAAAAGTCGGTGATCAACCGATTTTTTCTGTAGGGTTGGCAGGTATGCATAAGATTAAAAAAGTGATCCCGGTCTCTACCCAGCCTGAGGCGAGTCACGAGTGAGGCAGGACAGGAAGCCGGATTCACGAGTCACAGGAAGTCGGAAGTCGGAACGTGATGTCATGCTGGACAAGAATCAGAGTCCGAATAACATTTTTCATATTCAGACTCCAGTCCGAATAGTCACTTCGAAATAACAAATAAGGTAGTAGCCTACTACTAGGCCTACAAGCCAAGACGGAATTTATAAGACTGAAAAACGTGTTCTACGTCATCAGTTTGTGACCGCCGTAAAAATGGTCCTGGAGTTGGAGGCTATCTTTACGGCTCGCCGTAAAAATAGTCACTGCGTTTTAAAAGACCTTTCCATTGATAAATAATAGATCTAGATCTACATAACCCTTTGAAAAAGTTCAAAATCCTGAAAAAAATTGGGTAAGTGGAAACCTCTAGACTATGGTACTATGGTATAGAGTGAGTATGGCATGGGTCCTCACCTGAAATCCGCCTGTGCCAAGACCAGGAGCAGAACAGCCATTAGTTCGTTTCTTTCCTCATGGGGGTTTCATTAATACTTACGGAATTACAAATAGTTTAATTAACAATCTGAATCTAAGGCTTTATCCTGTAGATCTAGATATCTAGATCTACTAGATCTAGATCTAGACGGAGATTCTAGATCCTTGTGTGATACGTGATGGACTGGAGTCCACAATGGCACCTCCTGAACTTGGACTGCTTGTGCCAAGGCCGGGAGGACAGCCATTAGTTCCGTTTTGTTTCACTGGGGATTTCATTAATACTTACGGAATTTTCCTTTGTGTTGATCCACGGCTTTTGATGGGGGTCCACTTGCGCATCTCACAGATGAGATGGTCAGTGAACGTCTCAAAATGCACGAACTCGTCCTCCACAAAGATGCAGCCATGTTGATTGACCTGAGTGACCGTCACGAGATCCAGATTTTAGTTGGGGTAGATAGATTCTCCAGCTCATAAAAACCAGTTCCGGTTTTAAAATAAATACGTAGATAAACACACGTATTCTGTACACTATGTTTTAAAATTCTAGCTTGAAAATATTTTCTAGAACTTATAAACGTTTTGAGAACTGATATGTGGTGGATAGAGGCGTTTTATAGCCTAGAACATTAAAACTTATTTCAATGTTTAAGATATACCCAAAACCGCTAAAACTGAACACCGCCGTCGTTTTCATAAACTCGAAAACTTGACTATACGAAACAAAAGAAAGTAGAAAGACTTCAAGGTTATTACTTGATAGCCTAGAATAAATAATCCAAAATCCAAATAGTTTTCAGTCTTGGAATAAAATGTATCATTCTGATTTTCTACTAAAATTGTAGTTTAAAGCCCGAATATTTCTGTCACCCTTTCGATGGAGTTTTTCATTTTTCTTAGAAGATAGATCTAAATCACTTCGCTCTGATTTTGCTGTCAAAGAAGTTCTGATTCCGGTACTTATTTTACCTGGAATCTACGTCAGTGTCAAGTGTCAGTGTCAGACATCTATGGTGCAAGGAGTTTAGAACTAATCTTTTAATCTCCTTGCTATGATGTCAGACCAGGTCAGACCAGAGAACAAAGATTCTCCACTACCAAGATCATTGCACTTGCTCTTTTGGGCTTTTGTCCGCGCAGTGGCGGGCCCAATGCGTTGCGGCAAATGTGTGAAAATGGGGGGGGGGGGGGGGGGGGGTAAGAGCTTGAGTCTCCTTTATTCAATGGGTATGAACGACTGCATGGCCATGGCACCAATTTGAACGCATTGGCGGCCATTTTGGTTTGGGTTGAAGAGGTGAAAGAAAGTGCAGGGAGCTCTGTTTGTGAAAATGGTGAAATGGTATGAGTTTAACGCCCCTGTCAACACTATAAGGTTATTTAAGAGGCGGGACCTCCTAATTTAACGTCCGTCTCCGATAGGACGGGCCAAGTGGGAAGTTCGTGTAAAGTGCCTTTCCCAAGGACACAACGTCGGACCGAGCTGAGGCTCGAACCCCCGAACTCACAATCTCACTATTACGAGCCCGGTAGCCTACCACTAGGCTACCGACACCACTGCTCTGTTTGTGTGAGTCAGTGGGATTGTGTCTGTGTGTGTGTCTTTATAATGTGTATGTGTGTCCTGTATCTGTGTGTGTGTGAGTGTGTGGCTGTAGTGTGTCTGTGTGAGTGAGAGAGGGAGAGAGAGAGAGAGGATGTTATATTATATATATATATATATATATATATATATATATATATATATATATATATATATATATATATATATGCGAGGCAGCGTGGTGGAATCAGGCTCTCGTCAAAATAATCAAAGTGAAGAAACTTGCATTTTTCCGTAGGTTTGAGAATTTTTATCAAATTTTTGTTTTTTGGCTTTCTTGCCCATTAAAAAAACTCATGTCTGTCTGGATTTTTCTGAAAAACGTTGATTAAAGGCACAAAAAATTTAAATTTTCAGTTACCACGGCCTCTTAATCTAAGGAAATAACTAATCTTTGGAAGCCATTTTCTTACCAATTTTACCTCTGAAAACAGGTGACACCCACCTCCTTCATTTGCAAATATCTCGACTTGTACTTGTATTCAAGATAAATTGATATTTTTTTTCATCAAAATAAAGACAAGTGAACAAGCTTTGGGGTGATACCAATAACTCTACATGCCCCAAAACTGAAGAGAGCCTGATTCCACCCCGCTGCCTCACATTATGTGTTTGAGTGTGTGTGTAAGTGTTTGTGTGCATATGTGTGTGTTTATCCATCTGTATGTGTAGGAGCCTATGTGTGTATGTGTGTGTGTCTCTGAGCCTCTGTGTGTGTGTGTGTGTGGTTGTGTGTGTCTTTTAGAGTGTGTATGTGTGCAAGAGTCTGTGTGTGTCTGTCTGCAGGTGTGTACAAGTGATGTTTGTGTGCATGTGTGTGTCTGTCAATCTGAATGTGTATACGATTGTGTGTGTATGAGCAGGGGCGAAGGCTGACTTGTTTGACAGGGTAATCAAAGTGAAACGGGACAAGATATGGCTTGGGGATATCGCACAAGAACCTTGCTCGAGGCGGCGACTCAGAATTGTGAATGAAAACAAATCCGGAATTCATTATTGTATGCAGGGGCGAAGGCTGACTTGTTTGACAGGGTAATCAAAGTGAAACGGGATCAGATATGGCCTGGGGATATCGCACAAGAACCTTGCTTGAGGCGGCGACTCAGAGTTGTGAATGAAAACAAATCCGGAATTCATTATTGTATGTTCAACCGCCAAAATAATCGGGAAAGTATCTCATTGAATATCAGTTCCAATTAAAATCAAATCTAACTTTAGATGTGAATACACAAACACAAAGCAAAGAAGCAGAGATGTCAGTACTAGATCTATATGTTATATATCTACCAGGGAGTCTAACTCTTTGGTAGAACATGACAATTATCATTTTTTAAATTTCACATTTGGCTGGGGGGGTTTTGTCTAGCCTTTCGCGGCCACGAGCCTGTGGCATAATCGAGGTCACGATCTGATTATAGGGCAGTAAAAAGTCGAGGAAAAAAACAATCTCTCGCAGCAGTAGAGATTATTAGGGTAGACTCGACCAGTGTAATAGTTAGCTTACCTAATCAGTGCTTGGGACTGATTATATCTGTGGCCTGAAAGGGGTGAACAGGGTATATGTGGCAATGAAACAGTTTAGACTGCTATGCACATGTTCCCTTCAACTATGTTGGTAGACTCTTCCAGTCTCACTTTAAGCTTACTTAATCAAAGCTTGTGACTGCTTATGGAGTGGCCCAAGAGGGGAAAATAGGCTATTTCTGTGGCAATGAAACCGTTTAGAATGTTAGGCATACTGTTCATTGTTGATTATGAACGCCTTTTTACATTTAATTTATGAAGTTTACGTTTATGGGTGAATTTGACTGCGATCGACAATGTTTCAAAAATAGGAAGGGAAGCAGTGATTATTTGATTATATAGACGCTTCGCCTCTGTGTATGAGTGTTTTGTGTGCGTGTGTGTCTCTCTCTCCATCTGTACGTGTATAAGCCTGTGTGTGCTTATTTGTAAGAGTGTGTGTGTTTGTTTGTGCTTTTATCTGTGTGTTACTGTTAGTGCGTGTGTATAATATGTCTGTATGCGCGAGTCTATATAAGTGTGTGTGTGTGTGTGTGTGTGTGTGTGTGTGTGTGTGTGTGTGTGTGTGTGTGTGTGTGTGTGTGTGTGTGTGTCTGTATGTGTGAGTGTGTGTGTCTTTCTGTGTGTGTGATTATGTACGTGTCTGTGTGAGTGTCAGTGTGTGTGTGTCTGTGTGTATGTGTCTCACGGCGTCACTTTTCACCTGATTCTGTTACATTTAGTTAGCGTGACTCAGCAGCCCGCCAGAGCTCTCCCTCGGGGTCACGGGGTTAATGAGCCCTGAAGCGACTTAAATTTGCCGGCGTCGGTTAAGAAGTTTGTATTTTTGTCTAAGTTTGAAACGATATAACTTCTTCCCCATCCCAAACAGCAAACTATTACACTGATGTACTAAAAGCTCAATGTCTTCAGATTTATTCTCCGTTGGAATGGTTAATTTCTGTGCCTTAGTTTTTGTTCTAGGCAAGTGTCCTATTTTAGTTACAAACTTATAAATAAATGATTGTTTATTTGAAAACGGCAAAACAGATATCTCCCAAATCTGTGTTAAACTAACTACAAATATCATGTCTCTTACCATGAGAAATCTTAAACCTTCGCAAATAGTAATAGTCAAGTTATTATAAGAGAAGAAAATTAATGCACATTTGCATTTATTAATCAAAGACGTACTCCTGCGTTAGCTCTGTTATTTTACTATTAAACAAGAGAAATTTACTGTGCGTTAGTTCATGAATCATGTTGTGTCTGTGGCAGTCTGCATACAACTAAGAAAGATATATTATGTTTGTTTTTTTAAACTATAGACACATGGGTAGAGATAAACTTCTTGTATGGAATAAAAATAATGACAGCTAACACATTCATTCTTAGTTTTTGTGTCGGAAATGCGCGCGGACACTTATGAATGTAAAGAAATCAGAACATTGTCAATTATTGCAAATGGTCGTAAATAAAAGCTGGAAAAGTCTGTTGCTGATTCGGTGTCAATGGAAAGCTAGAAAATATTTGTATAACATAACCCAGTTACGAGAAGTCATCCCTGTCATTCAGTCAACTTACAAAACCTCTTAACCGTTTTAAGAAAAGTAACGAATTTCTGGAGTGTAACAGATACTGCGCATCGGACACACGGCCCTGACACACAAATACCTCCTTCAGGAAGATGAGAAGCCGTTCTGTGTCGGATGCGACACAGATTTTACCATTAGACACGTTTTAACCGAATGTCTAGTGTAGTGTATTTAGGTTAAAGGTTTCTCTACTCTTCCAGATCGTCGGGTACAATCGCAGCGAGGTTGTAGTGTGCACTGAAACCACAAGAAAATGACCCCACCCGATGGGCCCGACCCGACCCGATCCGATCGCGTATATGGGCACCCCAAGGACATTAAAAGTAATGGAGGATGCTCTGTGGACGGCACCGCACGCCTGATAGGAGCCCTCTCTCGCGGCGGAACTGTGGTCTACCTGCGCTGCGCGAATCCCCGACTCACGCACTGAAATATATAAGAAAGAAGGTTTTATTCCGAGGTCCTTGAGATTAGGCAAGTCAATTAGTAAAAATGCCTTGCATATGTGTTGTATTTAAGTGTAAGAA